GGGACGTTGGGGCTCATTTACGGGTTCACACACGATTTGTGTCTCTAAACCCTAAACCCTAAACCCTGAACCCTAAACCCTAAATCCTAAACCCTAAACCCTAAACCCTAAACCCCTAAACCCTTCAAGCTTGGGCTTAGGTCGAAGTGTGGGGTCCCAAGTTCAGGTGCTGCTAGGGAGGGATACGAAGCTTCGGCTTGAATCTCGCTTTAGGGTTGAGGCTTTGAGACCGGCGGTTAAGGGACAACAGGAGGGACCCCTAGAAGGGACCCCTAATCCTAATACCATATATAACCGTTATCTACCCCTTATATAGTCTCAGAAAGCCCCTATATAACCCTTTAAGGGTCCCTCCTGTAGTCCCCTTGAGGGTTGCGGGTGCCCTGAAGCCCTGAGACCAGGAAGCACAAAGCATCGCGAAGAAGCAGCGAGCGCTCTTCGGCAGATGGGTGGCCGATCTTGGGTTTAGGGTTTAGGGTTTAGGGTTTAGGGTCTAGGGTTTAGGGTTTAGGGTTTAGGGTTTAGGGTTTAGGGTTTAGGCTCCCGTCCAAGCCATAGGGGTGGCTTTCTAAACTAGGGTCCCTTTTAAGGTCCTTTTCATAAGGGTGCCGTACCATATTGGGCACCTAAAAGGGGACCCTACTTTGGAAAACTACCCATAGAGTGGGCGTGTTGGCATCGTTTAGTGACGTTCTTGAGCAACAGTTTTCTGGAAGGTGTCCTGCTGGTGTCATAGTGCTTTGATTTCCGGTCAGCCCTCCCCTCCTGCTTCTGCCTTGAGGTGCGGGCCCAATGCGCATGAACCCTGCCTGCGAAGTCAAAGCTCAGTTTTCAATGCATCCATAACTGCGTAACCCAACACCCGAAATTGTACAACCCTTAACCCTGAAACCGAAACCCACCCTGGAGCCCTAAACCCTTAAACCATAATGCCTCGAAACAACCTAGACCTTAAACCCTGAGAGAAGCATGCTATGCTATATATTATACTACATGCGGTTGCATTATGCGACATTCCATTATACTAATATTTTTATTATACTATAATATGTTGTGTTGTGCTATAGTGTATGTAATCTATTACAGCACAACGCTTGTTTTTGTCATGTTTACTAGCTTACATTGCATTGAATCGCATGATTACGGCGGCAAGGCTTCAAATCACGCAGTTGGCTTTGGAGCTGACTTCTGCAATCGTGGGGGAACCTGAGTCGCAGCATCAAGGAGGCTTGTGGACTTTAGTACGGTTTAGGGTTTAGGGTTTAGGGTTTAGGGGATTTAGGGTTTAGGGTCATAGGATCTCCATTTTAAGCCAGAGGTAGTTCCAGTCTGTATTGAGAAGGGCCAAAAGGGGGTGTAGTGCAGCCAAGGAAGTGTTTGTTCACGGGCTTAGATGCTTTCGTGTTTAGGATATTGGGTTTGGGATCTGTGCTTAGAGTTTAGCACTAAACCCTAAACCCTAAACCCTAAACCGTTTCCTTTGCTTGCTCTGGATCAGCAACCCAGGCGATCCCTATCGGAAACCATGGGACTTCGGGCAAAACAGGAGAAGAGAATGTGGGCAATGAGCTGAAGAATGACATGGTCGACGAGGAAGTTCAAGTAAAGCATGAGAAGGCCGTACAAGCTGGAGGGGAATCAGAGCTCGCCGTCATAGAGGAAGTAGATGAGGACCTGGAATCCGATGACCTTGCCAATTATTTTGAGAAGCCAAAGTTTGAGAAGCCAAAGCAGCAGGGACAAGGGTTGCTCCAGCAAGCGATGGAAGAACCGCCAGGTTTTTTCAAAAAGCTCCGATATGGGCTGGAGAACAGCATGTGCCTTGCACTTTGTTTAGAAGAGGGTTTAGGGTTTAGGGGTTTAGGGGTTTAGGGTTTAGGGTTTAGGGTTTAGGGTTTAGGGTTTAGGGTTTAGGGAGCTTCTGTGCCCTTTAATCTTGTACCTGGTGTAGTGTAGGGCCCTTCCCGCCTCAGGAGGGGGCCACTTGTGGTTAATCTGTTCCTTCTTATTTCTTAAGCCAAGGGTTTCTTGAATCTCCGATGGTGATGAGATCTAGTAGCTCAACCCCTAACCCTGAAGCTCTAAACCCTGCAACGTTCATATAGGGGCCATAATAATTGGGATAGGGTTTGGGGGGATATTATGCTAAAATTATAATAAGGAGCGCCCAAATAGTACTGGTAATTAGGTAGGCCCCTATATTACGCCTCCTACGTGTGGCCTTCCAGACTTCTTGTTGCTGGTCCAGTGCAAATGCGGGGTCTTAGCATCTGGCGCCTGATCACAGCAGGAGCACCAATCCCTGACATAGACGGTTTAGGGTTTAGGTTAGATTAGAAGTTTGGGGCGCTTGGGGTTTAGCGCCCTTCATCTCGTTAAAACGCCACAGCGCAGAAGCAGTCCCAGGTTTTCGCAGGATAATGCCATGAACGGGGTCGCCGCAGTTGCCAAAGTCTTCGAAATCGCTCAAGCGCCCTGGAAGTCGTCATCTTCGGATTCCAGCTCCGAAAGCATGCTCAGTCGTCTGAAGGAGGGATGAAAGGGTGTGGGGCTTAGGGTTTAGGGCTTAGGGTTTAGGGTTTAGGGTTTCGGGAGTGGCTCAGACCGTAGATCTTAAACCCGCCAGCCTCAGCTCTGAACTCTAAACGGCTCAGACCTGAAATCCTGAGCCCTAGGCCTGGATCCTAAATCCTAAACCCAAAATCCTAAACCCTAAACCCTACACCCTCTAAACCCTAAGCCCTAAATCCTAAACCCCAAACCTAAACCCCAAGAGTGACTCAATAGCTTCAGCTGAGATTCTGCAGATTTGTCGTTCTGGCTGCTGGTTTTTTTTAGGGTTTAGGGTTGTTTAGGGTTTAGGGTTTAGGGTTTAGGGTTTAGGGTCCTAAACTGCAGTAGTAAGCCCTATAGGCTCTAAACCCTCATCTTCCTGCGTGGGCTACTGTACGGGCCTCAAGAAATACCTACGCTATCTTGGCGGTTCCTTATTATTCCTTATTATATTTGTACAAGTATGGTATAGTGGACTCCACAACCGTATTCTAGTTATTAAGGCCCCTATATTACCAAACTTCATCTAGGAAACTAGGAAAGTCTAGGACGGGTCTCGACCAAGGGTTGCGGTAGATGTGTGTTTTCTTTTGGCCTGAAGTGTGTATCTAGGTGATATCCCCAAAGCCTAATTGCCCGAGCTTGAGAATGGCTTTTTGTGGGCAAGTTCGAAGTAGAAGGGAGTATTTTTCTTAGTCCTTGGGCAATCACAAAAAACAGAATGTTGCAGAACCTTCTCGTGTGTGGCTTTCAGATTACACTAGGGGGCGGCGTGGTGCCAGTGATAAGTATTGGCAGGAGTGAAGATAATCACCTGAAGGCACATGCTGAGGGACGTCAGCGTAGGATCCGGGTTTCTAGGGCCTAAATAATTACCTATATCTTTTTGGGGGTTCCTTATTATAATTATAGTATCATGTTCCCCAAAATCCTATTCTACTTATTAGTGGGGTTATACGTCCCTTAATATGGATTATAAGCAAAGCTACCCTACTTTTAACCCCACTTATAACTACACATGAACCTCCAAGTAGGGTGTACAGGTAGATTCTAAATAATTACCTATACTATTTTGGGGTTCCTTATTACAATTAAAGTATCATCTACCCCAAAAACCCTAT